CAAGTTATGGTTAATTATCTATGGTTTAATGTAAGTGACGAACAATACTAAGGAAGGGGCAGTGTTACGACAGCGGAAGTCACGCAATGCTGGGAGCATGCGCGCTGGAGTTTCTCGAAGGATCATGAATTTTCCTGGCAACTCTAGTTTGTTCCAGGAGCCCTCTTTTTTAGTATATAAGCTCGGCAAATAAAGCCAGCGAAAAAGATGGAATTGAATAGATAGATAGATATAGAGATAGATAATTGAGTCAAGCGAACAGTAGGCACCGTAAGTAAATTGTGTGAATCGCTGTAAATTATAGCGAGTTTTTATAAAAGTAGTTAAATTAAAGTGACTGTGGAAATTCTGTGTATTACAAAGTTGTATCGAGAAAGAGTAAACTAGTTTTATTTAAGAATTGACTTGTATCGCTGAAGTTCCTCGGAAATAATTTATACCGGAAATTAACAAACGAACAGAGACGTAACAATATTATTATCACTTACTCGTCTGCTCGCTTTCTATATTCTCGACGTCAATGAATTATAAACACAACTTCCTACATTCGTCTGCTTTTAACTCTTATTATAACAAAACTAAACAATAATAAAATATTCACTCACAAAAATAAATTAATCACTAATATATAAACCGAACAATCTTTTATATCATGACAGTCTGCAACAATAATTTTCTATAATTATAAGCTGAAAGGTTATTGGTAGTTAATTTTATATAATCTGAAAGGTTATTTGTCGTTTTAAACTACGTTAAACTGCTTTGTTCCACACTTAATTTGTTCTATCATTATGTACAGGTATTCTTGTGTTCCTCCCTCCCCTCCTCGTGCCTTAGCGTAAGTCTGAGAGCTTAAAACACTTTAGTAAAAAACGTTTTCGATACTTTGGTGGGCAGAACACAGATAATCTATTGTGTAGCTCTGCGCTTGACAACAAACTGTGTCCTTAAATTGGTCCTTTTCTTTATGACTTCACATAATTATCTCGTTCCCTAATTTATCTTACTGTTTCTGAGTAGACGCCACTTTTTCTGGAAAATTGTAGAAACTATATAAAATACCTATATTTGTGTATGCATTAGTTTTCTACATTATGTTTAAGTTAAATCATTGTACTTTTATAAAACTGAATAACAAAATAATGAAGTTTGATATGTCGTCATGACTTATTAAATTAAATTGTTCTACGTTTGACTGAACACTTGCTTTATAATTTTGTTACTTGATAGTTTGAAGAAATATTTTTAATTAAGTAAGCTGGCTGTGAGAAGATCTACAAGATAATCTCATTAAAAGGTTTAAAACGAATTTTTTTTTTACTTTAGTTATTTCATTTGATGCTAGTAATGTCAAAAACAACCAGTTAAAGACAGGGTTAAAAATACTTCTTTAAAAAATATTTCTGTGTTTTTGTCTGAGCATAAAGTTACACAATGGCCTATCCGTGTTTTGTGCCCATCGCGAGGACCTAAACAGGAATTTTAGCGTAATAAGCCCTCATATTTATCGCTGATCCACTGAGGATTTAGGTGTTTCTTTTAGACAAGAACGTCAAATTTACTACCAGACGATTCCCATACTGTCAATTTGTATAACTAGAAAAGGTGTTTCTTATGCGAAAATAAACATATTTCGTTGGATTAAAAAAAAATATCTATATATATTTATAGTGCCACACATGATTTATACTGTAAGTTAAGAAAAAAATGCAAATATTACATTTTGTTCATATTTTTATATATTCTATAAAGAATTTCAAATATAATAAAACACATTTATGGTCTCATGAAACTGCGCAAGACGTCAAAAATGAAATATCGATTTTTATCACTTTAAACTCTACCACTTGTAGTAGGTGTCGCTATAGCTAAGGGTGATCAAATTGTACAAGGCAATGTTTCTTACTGATGACTATGGAAAGATGAATATGGCGTCTAATGGAGGTGGTGAAAGTTGGAGTATTTGGTAAGTGTTTATTATCAGCAGGGGATAAAAATTCTGTTATTTTTTGTTGCAAATAAGTAAAATAATTTATGATTTCAAGAAGTAAAAGTATTATAGAATATGTGTTTAATTATTGATAATGATAGTTTCTATGTTATTGTTACAGTGCTAGTAGTTTTAGTTTTAGTAAATAATACTGATACTGTCAGTGTCAGTGTTTACTGTAGAGTGTAGTACATTAGTACTACAAGTTACAACTAACTTCCTGCTGTAGTATAAGCTAGTATAACTGCGCTACTGCTTGGATAGAATAAACTTTAAGAAAGTTACTGTAATTTCTTGTTTTTCGTTTTAAGACTTGTAGAAATTTAGTTTCACCTTAGAAGTTAGACTTTCGAGAAGACACACACAGCAATGAGAAACCCGATGGTTATTATTTAAATATTAATGTTATATAAGTTGTACTACTAGTACTATTATATTAATATCACAGTGCCAGTGATATGTTTTGTAAATAAACTTGTAGCTAGAGCTAAGCCTAACTTAGGTTTAAATAATTTCACTGTATCTTGAGTAGCTGTAATTGGTAAAGACAAACAAAATGTAGTGGAGGGATTTTATAGGCTTAGCTAGAAAATGAATTGGGTAAAGCAATCAGTTGACACTAAGATATTTCCAAGTTTAAACATGAGAGTTTTCATGAGGGCTTAAATTTTTAGATTAAAATAAATTGTATTGATAACACTGTCAAAGAGTGATTTTACAAGAGCAAAAAAGTCAGATATATATATATAAAATAAAGTCAATCACATATTTTCAAACAATACAACATATGAAAAGGAAGCTAGATTTCAAAACTACAATGGTTATATTAGCTAGGAAAGTGTAATCAGAATAGCACTTACTTGCTAAGTTGTTAAACTGCTAACAAAGACAGTCTTACCAATAATTATGTAACTTCATTATGGAAATCTTGACCAGTTCAGGAAAAAGTGATGCACTGAACATAGAAGCAAGTGTATATCATACTCCTTTCAACCAACAATAAACTTTTTAAGTGTATGCTTTCAAAATATATACATTTCAAAGAAAATTTTAAAATAATGAAAACTATCATTACATGTAATTTTCACATTTCTGACCTTAGCTGGAAATTAAAAAAAAAAACACTTCCAATACGTAGCTTATCCAAGACGTACAAATAACAAGTTTGGATGTCTGATTTATATCTTACGTTTTTCTGTATTATAGAAAAAAAAAGTAACTGAGCGTATAGACTTGGTCATTTTAACCAACCTTGTAATCACCACGTTACCATGAAACTATACCTTCTATAACTGAATTTACTAAGTGTGTTGTCCAAAAATAATTAATGTAGCTTTCAAATATGCATTTTAGAATAAACAAGATATATACCACACATTGAAATAGAATGTCCCTAAACTGTAATTTATCAGGCTTTCTAACTGACCTATAAATAAATGTTCCATTACTGCTCAGAGCAATATTTTTAGTTTTAACACCTCAAACTCTGATGGCAAACTATTGGCTGTTACCAGTTTAACAAAACGGACAACCATGTGATATATACTGTGTAGAATTTGCCCTTTTTCTTGGTTGTAACAATGTCAGTGTGAATTACAGACATTTCTTATTAAAAAGTAGTGTATATGAGGGGCGTGTCAACATAGATTTAACAAATTTAGTGATACTTCGGCAAAGCAAGAAGATAAAAGGTTTATATTTTATACTTGGCTCTTCAATATGTATAACATATGTTTCTGATTGGTTGAACAATCTGAAGGGAAGAGGAAATATCAATAAATAAGTCACACTGCCATTTCATGTGACTCGGAGAGGTGCAGATTGAGAATTATTTAAATATTTCCTTTAGAAATTATAATTTAGACAATATACAAATTTGAATTATATATATTACATTTTGATGTTATGCTATTAACTGATATTGATAATAAATTTTGAATACACAGTTCTGTAAAAAAAAGTTTGACATGCTCCATCCATATCCACAAGATTAAACCTCTTTTCATAGAAGCTAAAACTAAATGTATTTTTCCTGAAGACTTTCCAGTTGATCTTTTATCCTTCTTAAGACAAAAAATAGACTAAAAACATTGGTACTATTCAAAATGACAAAAATATCAAACTCAGAATTTTATAAATAGACCCTAGAATGTGATTAGTTATCCCAATTGCTTAGCCATAGGTTACAGGCTTTTCAGAGCAGTCAGGCCCACATCCGTTTGCCTTTTCTACACATCCACCATTTTTCTCACATAACAAACAAGTCCTTTCTAAGTTTCTTTACCTTGAGTACATTGGTTATGTAAAAGATTTTCAACATCTTTCTAAACCAAACAACAAATGAGGCCAGTGATAAGCTGTGTAATTAAAATACTGATGCAATAACTATGGGAAATTTTACACATTGTTTGCCATTATGTGGAGTGAAATAGTAAATGAAGATGGTTTTCTATACTAAAGCATTAGAGAGCTAACTGGTGTTGAGGGGTAGGAGGTATCATTTGGGGAACTTTTGAAGAAATGTGATCATTGCACAAGTAGCTTTAATGTTCTGTTAAATGTTGAGACAAAAGAAATGAAATTTTAGTTCTTAATTTTCAGAAAGCCAGTTTTGAAGTCACGAGACAAGATTCATTATTAATGAATTGGAATAATGAGTTAATAGGCGAGGTAGAACATAAATGGGAAATTTTCCAAAATTACTTTAAATTCAAGATAAAAAAGAGGAAAATGTTAAAAGAAGAGATCAAACC